ATTAAACCTGGAGATTTCACTACAATTATTCACAATCTCTTCAGAAGTATATACATCATCAGAGATCACTGTACAGAATGAGAATCTAAGTATGAGATATATCAAGTCAGAAGATCTGTCAGAGTTATCAAGCTTTAATGATAACTGAAAAAATGATACTGTAATCAGCTGGCTAAGTCAGATGTAATTATATTATCAGATTGAATGTGAACTCATAGACAGACAGTTAACAGAATTTCAACAAGTCTTAAGATCTGCTACATTTCTATATGAAAAAGTGAAGTTATTATGAATAAATGATAAAAAGATAAATCTTGCAGACTCAGAGTGATATTCATTCTTATAAATATGAAATGAGTTTTTCAAATGAATCTTGCATAACTTTGAGAAAGTGAATATATAAGATAAGTGTTATGAACACTTCACTGAGTGTAGATAAGTGAGTAATCTTACATCATACTTTACACACTTCAGTTTACACTATCTTATATTAAATGAAGAGCTTTTAACATCTTTCTATTTACAGATCTTCATTCATGATCTTACATCTAAGTTAAGAGTGAAATGAAAATGCTTAATTTCACAGTCAGACACAGTGAAGAAAGCATATAATATTCTCATTGTATGAGAATAAGTGAGTCAATTGTAACAGAAAATACTGTAATCAAGTATGTCTCAGTAAAGAACAGATAATCAGACTTCTATAACACAAGTTATACATCTGAATATGATAAATCTAGATCTGAATGCTATCACTAAAGCACTGAATTCTTCAAAAAAAGGAATTCTCTGAGTGAAAATCTTGATATCATGAGCATTGAGCTTGCTTCAACTGTGAATGTCAAAATCATGATACAAAAGATTGCACTCAGTATATACAGTCAAGAGAAGCAAGAGAGTCAAAAAACTAGCAGAATCAGTGAGCTTAAAGACACTCACTGATATTCTATGAAAAGTCATCAAAGTGAAAGAGATGTCTGTATTAGATGACTCTCTGAATTCTACAAATACAAAGAGAAAGCAGGCTTCTGACTGAGATGCAGGTGAGGAAATGAATGCTCATCTCAATGTCTTGAGACCTGAAATATTAATGTATAAGAGACACTTGAATAAGAATTGAGAGATAACTGTAAAAGTGTTAGCAGATATAGAAGCTTTTATATAATATATTAATAATTATATAATCTGAAGATTGAAAGAGGTTCACTGAGTGAAGAATCTCTGATATATAAGGTTATTTGATAACTGATATTTGATATCATCTGTAATAGTAAGAGTTCCCTTGCACTTTGAAGAATGATCTTACTATATTTGAGTGTGAGAGCTGCAGAACATGAAATACAATCTTATTCTTAAACTCAATTGATTTCAAAGATTCAATTCACAGATTCAATGATGTATATATCATATACAGTTAACTGATAGAAAGAAAACAGTTCATACAATTCTATCAACTGATATGAGAAGAATATTTCACATCTCTGATATAGAAGGATTAAATCTGCTTATATATTAATAAGTAAAGAGAATGATTTGTAAGATCTCATCTGAAAGCATTCTGTATGTCATATGAGACCTGAAAGTGAAGAAAACCAAGATACAAGATATATGAGAGAATAAGTGTATGAAGAAGCTTCTGAAGAAGCATGAGAAGATCTTCTGAATAGATCTTTCACTGAAATTGCTGCTGAAATGAGGATTTGTACATGAGCTTGACACAGGGGATACAAAACCAGTTAATCAGAATATGTACTCTCTATCACAAACACATCTTGAAGAACAGAAGTATCAGATTACAGACCTTCTAGAACATGATCTCATATGATTCTCATCAAGTACATGAGGCTTTTCAGTTCTATTCATGAAAAAGATGAGTGAGAAGTGATGAATATGTATTGATTATCAAGCACTTAACAAGCTTATAATCAAGAATGAATATTCACTGTCACAGATTCAATAACAGTTGAATATAATTAAAAACATCTGATATCTATCAAAGATTGATCTTCTCTCAGAATACTGACAGATTCATGTAGATGAACTGTCAGTCTCATAAATCACATTTAATATACAATGAGAGAAGTTCAAATTTCTGATAATGTTATTCAGTCTGACAAATGTGCCTGTCATCTTTCAAATGATGATGAATACAATTCTTTATAAACAGAATAAAACCTCATATCTTATATATCTTGATTACATTCTAGTCTTTTCAAACTCATATAATGAATATCTGAAGCATCTTGATGAAGTGCTTACAACTCTGACAGAGTATAAGCTCTATATTAAATCAATCAAGTGTGTGTTTGAAATGAAATAGTTGAAGTTCATAGAACATGTAGTGAGTGATGACTGTATATATCACATCTCAGAGAAATTGAATGTCATAGCAAATTGACCACAGCTGAGAAATATACACTATATATAACAGTTTCTTGAGTTGATCTCATACTACTGCAGATTTATCAAGAATTTCACACAAATATCTGCATCACTCTCAGATCTCTTAAGAGAAATGAATGCAAATCTGTGAAAGAAGAAGTTTTATTCAATCATCTGAAATACTATGTGTGAAGAGACTTTTCTCACACTGAGAGAATATGTAATAACATTCTCAGTGCTTATTCAATCAGATCATGATAAATCTTTCTATATCAAGACAGACACATTTAAATAAGCTATCAGAGACACTCTTCTACAGATGAGTAAGAACAGCAAGCTGCATCTGATGACATATAATAATAGAAAACTATCAGATGCTGAGCTCAATTATTCAGTGTATGAAAAGAAATTACTAACAATCAAGTATATGCTGATATTATGAGATAGATATATCAACAACAGATATACAACAATAATGATCACAGATCACAAAAGTCTCATCTATCTATAATTAATAAAAAAATCTTTCAAATGCTTAGTATGTTGAATCTCAGAGTTTTAAGTGTATAATCTTCATATTAAATACTGAAAGAGATCAGACACTGTGATATCTGATATAATCAGTCACAGACCTGATTTCATGAGTGAGAGTTCTGCAAATCAGGTATAAGAGACATTTGTATTAAATGCACTGAGAGAATGCAAGGAATCAGAATGAGTGAACATCATGATCTCTTGCTTAAAGAATGACAAGATGTCAGATGACAAGTATCTTATGAAAGTAGTAGAAGAGATGCTTCTGAACTTCAAGCTGAGAAAATTGAAAAACAACATTGTGCTTTACCATGATCTAGAATACATAGAAGCTCTCTATCTAGAATCTTCATTTCAACATGACTTGATGACTCACATGCACAAGGAATTCAGTCACTTAGAAAGCTCTGAACTCATGAATATACTTGAATCAAGAGCATACTGATCAAGCATGACTGAGGACATTCAGGTGTACACTCACAAGTGCCTGAATTGTCAGGTCATGAAAGAATCTAAGAAAGGATTAGAATGCAAGAAAGTGCAACATCAGATAAAGTATACAATACAACTGTTCAAATAATGAAAGATGAATCTCATAGACATATTACTATAAATATCAAATGAAAACTGATGAATAATCACTGCTATTGATTACACTACTGACTGACCAGTCATGAAAGCAGTTTCAGAGATAATAGAGAAGATAATAATGAAGTTTCTACATAATGAAATCTATGTCAACTATGAAATGCCATGTGAGATTCTAACTGATAATGATGTGAATCTCATAGAGAAATAAGTGAGACATTTCATGAGCCAGTTACAGACAAGATATTATAGAACAACATCATATCATTCATAGATGAATGAGAAGATGAAACACTTGAATGAAATCTTGAACAATATGCTGATGAAATATCTAATGAGCAAGTCTATGAGACTATGAAATGAATATTTCAGGCAGGTGCTACTAGCCACACAGATTCAACAGCATGCAGTCTTCAAGAATTCATCATTCTATCTGTTATATGAATTGCATCCGCGCATTCTGAAGAATGCTTCAGAAAAGATGAGAGAGGAAACAGCAGTTGCAGACACAACAGTTGCAGATACAGAATCAAGATTGAAAGAGATCAGCCATGCATATGTAAAAGCTAACAAGTTACTTCTGAACTGAGCAATTCAATTGAAAAGAATACAAGACTCACTAGTTAAGAAATTGAGTCTCAAGATGAGAACATGAGTTCTTGTATGCAATGAGAGTTCTGAGAAGTTTCAATCTAGATAATTTGAGTCATATAAAATACTCAAATCACATTCTCTGAGAATGTATGCATTGAAAGAATCAGAGAGACAGATCTTATATAACTTAATAAATGATTCATAACTTATGAAAACAAAGATACAAGATCTGAGTAGATTATAATTATTCACAGCACTATCATCAGTGTTGAAAAAGAAGAGACTTACAATTGAAAAGTCTTATGAAGTAAGAGAAATCATAGACACTTACAAATCAGATGATCTCACTTATTTCAATCTTTTCATAATTATAAGAAAAGAATGAGAAGAAATGAAGAAATCAGATAAATATCACACTTCAATAAGTGATGAGACTGTAGTCAGTTGTATAATAATGCACTGCAGACAGTAGATACAACACAGTAAAGAGTGATCTCAGAGTAACAGACTTACATATGAGTCAGATTACAGAAGAAAAAGAAATTCAGAGTTGAATTTAACTGTTTACATCAGTTCAATTGCAGAGATCACAGAAGACAAACTATCTGAAATATTCACAGATATATGAGATCAAGTCATCTCAATCTCTGAAAATACTCAGAGATTAAATAAGATTAGTTTTGATGAGCTGTTCACTGTAGTGATCTGAGCAGGTGAAGAGAGACAGTATAATGCATAAGATAGAATTATAAAAGATAGAAGCTGCTGAATCTAGTCACTGAATACTATATTATATAGAGATTGCATAAGAGTAGTGACTAGCAGATAAAGAAAAAGTGTAAGAAAAGAGATAATGAATTAATCATCAACTGTCAAGTTTTAAGATCTGCTGTGCATCAATATCAGAACAACCGCTCCACCACGAACTCGCTCGATTTTTCGAATAAGAACCCGCCGATAGATCCATCGTAAAGCCCTCGATCATACGAGCATTTTGACCCCATCGCCGACCGCATACCCCGTGTGGTGGTGGAGTTATCCAGCCAAACGTGAACCGGACGTTGTTCGAAGCTCCTGTGTGGGATTATCCCCCGTTCTCCCCTACCACACCACAACCCCGGGCCAGAGTGCCATACAAATTGTAAGGTGAAGTGACCTAGCCATATGCACCAATCTTCTCGATTTTGGAAGACCCCCGACCTGTAGTTGTGGAGATATCCGAGGAGCGATCTCCGCGAAAACCCTGTCCATCTTTGATGTTCCAAAACACCAACGCCAAGTCTCACCCTCGTACCGCCCTTCCCAATCTGGCCCATCCCCGGCAGAAAAATACAAAAAGATACCTCGGCGATAATATCAAGCACATAATCAACGGACTCTTCTGAAGTGCAACCTCCACGGTCCGCCGCCAGTGTATCTAGACTTCAACACCAAGTCTCACCCCTGTACTACCCCTCTCAATCTGGCCCATCCCCAGCAGAATGATACAAAAAGATACCTCGGCAACAGTATTCAATACATAATCAGTGGACAATGAGTCAACAGCACATCAACAACTATAAAATCAGTATACCTCAAGGTCTGACTGAGCCTTTGATCCCTGCACAGTGAGATATATTAAATCTAGTTTTAATACCTCAATATTCAATAGATTCTGCAAGGGATTGAGAACAGCAACACTAGGTTTCTATTGAATTTGAGAATTAACTCTATATTGATATAATCATTGACAAAGTCTTCTATTTTGAGATATAAATAACCAGTTCCTCTACATCCCGCTGGCAATATTTATATTATCATATAGAAACAGACTTATATTCTCTATAATATCAAGACCCTGAAGAGGGAAAGTCTTGGTAGAGGGTATACAGTAGTGCATATCTTAGCAGTTTCTATCTCATTCTTCTGCAGCAGTTAATGCAAAAAAAAAAGATCTTAGAAATAGTTTTTTACTTCTCTTGAAAAAGTAAGGTGTTTTTCTCTGGGTTTTACACAATATTCTTACAAAGAATTAAAAACAGAGTTGTTTTCTGTCATAATTTCATATTCTTTTAAGTAAGAATTACTATTTCAGTGGCTGAAGAGCTTTCATTAATACTTAATTCTTTTTTACACTCTTTATTAACTGATTTGAGTTGCACACTTGTTGTGTGAGGAGAATTGGATGATTTAGAATAAAATTGAATAGTTTTAATCAATTTCTCTGCAAAAAATTGATTTATTTTTTGTCAGTTTTTCTCTCAAAAACTGTCATATCATCTGATTTATTATCAATTGATATCATACTTTTCCTCACTGTATCCCAAGAAAGAGATTGTAAAGATTTTATTGATTTATCTTAAAAATCAATTTTAGTTTATTAGATTCTCTTCAAAAATCTAACCTAGTTACTGAACTAGTGTGAAAAAAATCAGGTGTTTTATACACAAAAGTCTTTTATTCTTCTTTTGAAACAGTCTGACCAACTTTTCAATTGAAAACAGACTTAGAAATATCTCAATTGAAACAGTCTGACCAACTTTTCATTGAGTGAAAACAATGAGTTCAAAAATACACTCAGTTGATGTGGAAAAAGATGCTTTCTCAAATGCTATTCCTGAGATTGAAATTCTGAAGAGAAGAAAGAAAGAAGAAATAGAGAAACAACAAGTTCTTGAAATACAGGAACTTGAAAAAGCGAGCAAGATTCTTGGAAAGCAGTGTCTGAGTGAGATGAATGAAGAAGTTCTGTTAATTCTTCATGCTCAGGCCAGACAACTACAGGAGGTGATCAAGTTCAAACTTGGAATCTCAAACACAGTTCAAAAAACCTTGAAAATTCCTAGTACAATCACTGACTCTTCATCTTACTCTTCTTCTTCCTTTCTTTCTACTTCTTCTTCTTCTTTGAATCAGAAGAAAACATATGCTCAAGCAGCTGAATCTGCTGTCTCTAAATCTGCTGTCTCAAAACCTGCTCAAAATCCTGAGAAAACTGAGAAGAATACTGCTCATGCCTCTATTCATAGAAAAGTGGAAAAGAAAATGCAAAAAGAGAAAAACTTCCAAATCTCTAGAAATAGAAGACTCATTCTCAAAGTCTCAAACCAGGACATTCTGCAAAGAAACAAGCTAAACTCAAATCTCATTTTCAGAATCAGAAATGAAATTAATCAGCAGTTCTTTTCTCAGTTGATGACTGATATTGAAGTTCAAAAACCAGTTATAGCTTCAATTGAGCCATCATTCTTTGGAAACTCTATTATTCTGACTACAATGCCTGAATTCAGTGCTGAATTCCTTATTCAGAATGAGAATCTCTGGAAGTCAGCAGTAGAATCATTGCTAAACACAACAATTCTATCTGAAAGAGATGAAAAGTGGGGCAAATTCATTCTTCATGATATTCCAGTTGAAATTTTTGACTGTGAAGAAGGAATGCTACTTCTCAAAAATGAATTGGAAGAATACAACTTCATTCAACTGAGAAAGGAGCCTGTATGGCTAAATTCAATTGAGTTCAGACAAAGCAGGAGAAATGCCTCTGTTCTAGTATATACAAAAACACTTGAACAGTCAAAGATCTCTGAAGTAAGAGTAGCAGGTTTGAAAATGAGAGTTCATGAATACAAAGACTTAAGAATGAATCTCAAAGCTCAAACACAGTGTTCAAACTGTCAAAGATATGGATACTTTGCAATCTCATGTTTTAGAGACTCAAAATGTGCATTCTGTGCCAGAGATCACAAAACTAGTGAGCATAAATGTGAAACATGCTCAAAAAGAGGTGAAATTTGTCAACATACTCTGCTTAAGTGCTCTAATTGCAAAGAAAAACATGCATCTAGCTCTAAAGAATGTATGTTTGCTTCTAGAACTCAAAAGAACTGGAGAAAAGATGAAGCTCAAAGTCAATCTAGAACTGAAGAGAAGAGTCAAGCCAGTAAACTCACAACTGCAAGCTCAAAAAGAAGAAACTCTCAATTATCTAAGTCTTCAAACTCCAATTCTCCAGCAAAATGTAAACAGAATTTGAATCCTCAAACTCCTGTTAAGATTAGAGAATTGAGAAATGACTCTGGTGATAAACTAGATATAATGCAAGCAGTTGAGATTCCTACTTTTCAGAACAGTTATAATCTACTATCTGATGATAGTGATTAGATTCTTCTCTACTCTCTTTTAGTATGAATATACAACAAAAACAACAAAAAAAGTTTAAAAACTCTTCAAAAATCACATTTATTCAAAATAATGTGGATAGAAACTCAAATTGCATTTATTCTTGTCTTCAAATTGCATTTGAATAAAAAGTTGATTTTGTACTGCTTCAGGAGCCGAATTTTGATGCTGAGCAAAAATATGTCATTTCTCATTCAAGCTACTACTGCTTTTTACCTCAAAAGTCTGAGATAAAGGCAAGAGTAGTGATCTATGGAAGAAAGAGATCAAGATATCAATTTAATCTAAGATTTGATATCATGTCTGACCCTGATATTCTGGTGGGTGATATTATAGATAAAGAAAATGAGTTTGATACTATACAGCTCATAAATATCTATAATGAAAAGTCATTGAAGGAAAATAACAATATCTGGACAATTGATAGAGGATTTCTGAACATAACTCCATCAAGAAACTCTATAATTGCAGGAGATTTCAATGCACATCATCCCTGGTGGAATTCAGAATGCAAGAGAGCAGTGAGAGCTGATAATCTGGTTGAATGGACCTTTGAGCATTCAATAGATTTGGTTAATAAGTCTGATCAACAAACATTCTTTAGAAAAGGCATGAAACAGAAGTCTATTATAGATCTAACATTCATGTCACAAAATCTAATGGAAAGAAGACTTGTAAACTGGTTTATTGATTCAAATGAGACATCAGGATCAGGTCATGAGATTATTCAATTTGATATTGAACTGAGTGAAAAACAAATAAGTGAAAATCCTCTTCTCTCTAATCAGTATAACTTTGAAAAAGCTGATTGGAAAGCAGTTGAAGAAAGCATAAAACTGTTAAAATCTGAAAGACAGAATGAGCTATATTGGAATTCTGATCAAGATATCTCAAATGAAATGCTTGAGAATAGAGTGAAGCTTATTACATCTATCATTCTAACAAGTGTTAGAGATAATATTCCAAAAAGAAAATCTTCTGAGTATTCAAAACCTTGGTGGAATGAGAATATCTCATCTAAAAGAAAAGAATTAGCTACTGCTAGAAGAGATTGGAAGAATGATGTAATATCTGATGAAGAGTTCAAAACTGTCAGAAATGAATATTTTTCAGATATTAAAAGAGCTAAAACAGACTGCTGGAATAAATTTCTTGAAGAAGCACAAGGGAAGGAAGTTTTTAAAGCTTTTAACTATACTAAAACAAGAAGTGTAGCAAAACTTCCAGCTCTAGAATATGAGTTTCAGAATGAATCATATACAGCAAACTCTTTTGAGGAAAAATGTCAAGCTTTCATGAGAATTCTCTTTCAGAACTCACCAGATTCAGATTCAGATTCAGAGGAAGAGAATATATCACTTCTCAACTACATTGATGAAAATGACTGGGAATGGCCTGATCTTACACAAGATGAATTAGAGTCAGCTATCTTCTCAAGTTCTGTTAAAACTGCTGCAGGTCCAGATTCAATTAATCACTTGATTATTCAAAATACATATTCCTACTTAAAGAATGAATATTTTGAGCTCTTTTTCAATCTCTTGAAAAATGGATATCATCCTGAATGCTGGAGAGAAGCCACTGGAGTGATTCTTGCAAAACCTAATAGAAAAACTTCAATTCCTAAGTCATATAGAGTAATATCTCTATTGAACTGTTTAGGAAAGGTTTTAGAAAAGATAATAGCTACTCGACTATCTTTTATAAGCTCTATAGATGATTCTCTTTTATTCAGTGAACAAATGGGAGGTAGAAAACAGTGTTCTGCAATTGACACTGTTCTCTCAGTTGTTCATGATATTCAAATAGCAAAGCATGAGGGTCTGGTCTCAACTGCAGTTTTTATTGATATAAAAGGAGCGTTTGATCATGTTTCAAAGTCAAAGTTAATTCAGACATTGAAGATATTAAAACTGCCACTTTCCCTAATAAAATGGGTTAACTGTTTTATGTCTAAAAGAATTATACAACTCTTCTTTGATGGAATGAAACAAGACAAGACTGAGATAAAAATAGGAGTACCACAGGGGTCTCCAATCTCACCCATTTTATTTGCAATATACACTGCATATCTATTCAAAAATAGAAATATGAGAATAGTGCGATCTCCGAGTTATGTGGATGATATTGGTCTAGTCTACAGCTCAAAAACTAT